CCGTCCCGCACTTCCGTGGAGGCGGTCAGGCGCGGCGAGGTCTCGGCGAAGGAGAGAGACGGGGGCCGCCTGGCCGACCAGAGGGCCAAGCTGGGCGCTGGACTACATGCGGTGGATGACGATGACATCCTGCTGCTCGAGGGCCTTGCGGCCCGCGCCCGTGCGCGGCCAGGTGCGCGGCGGAGATCGAGGTCCACATCGCTGACCATGGGGCCAATGGCTGCCGGCCGACGGCGACGCTCGAGGACCTCGACTTCGGCGTGCCCGAGAGGAGGGCCAGCGAGCCCAGCGCGGTGGCAGGCGGCCCCCCAGGCGCGACGGCCGCTGCAGTGCTGGCGGCGCCTGCCGCGGCGGCGGCCTCGGGCGCGGTGGAGCGTGGAGGCGCCCTGCCCGCGCGGAAGCGGCTTGCGTCGGCGGCGTCGGCGGGCGCCAGCGGCCTGGGCAGGGCCGGCAGTTCGGCCGCCGCAACGCCAGCTGCCGACTGGCGCGTGGCGCGTCGGATCTTGGCTCCACCAGCGGCGGGCAGCGGCGTGGCCCTAGGACGTCCGCCGCCGCCTGGAGCTGAGCCCCGGCAGGTCCGAGGCCACCGGCTGATCATGGGGCGCGTGGAGGGTGGGGCAGGGCAGTTCTCAGCCTGCACCACGTGCTTCGTGCGCGCGAGGACGCCCGAGATGCGTCGGCGCGGGCTCCGCGACGAGTGCGCGGGGGCCGCCGCCAGCCGAGCCCGCCAAGGCTCGAGGGCGCAGGCGCGCAGCGACCTTGAGCGCGGCCTGCTGCCGGGGCTCGCGGCGCCGACTGCCGAGGTGCGGACCCGCTGGGCGGAGAAGCTGGGGCTGGAGGCGGGCGGCGACCAGGTCGCGGGCGCGGCGGCGCGCACCCGCTCGGCGCTGGGCGGCGAGGATGAACGGCCAGCCAGGCGCCAGAGGACGTCCGCGGCGGCCGCTGGCAGGAGCTCGGGCGCCAGCGCAGCCGACGGCGTCTTCGTCCTGCCGCCAGCCGAGGCGGTGGCCGCGGCCCGCGGCCTCGCCTCGGCCGAGGATGCGCGTGCCCGCGGGGCGGCGGCTCGCCTGTCGAGAGCGGCCGCAGCGGCTGCCACGCGCGCGTGGCGCACAATTGCATGATTTATTTAATCGTTTCGTTCATTCCACCGGCCCTGGGGCCCTCTTTAAGGCCTCTTGGGGGCCTCTTGGGGACCTCTTGGGCGTCTCTTGAGGCTCCTTGGCGGCGCCATGGGGGCCCCAGGGCCTCTTGGGGGGCTCTTGGGGGCCTTTTGGGGCGGGAAGGGGTAGTCGATTGCGGTCCCCCTTCGGAGGCCACGATCCTCGTGGGGGGTGTCGAAAAATGGCCTCCCTTGGAGCGTTCTGGGGACCTGACTGGGACCTAGCCGGAGTACTTTTCGTCTCGAGGGGCCCCAGAGGCCGCTCCGCGCGCGCAATTAAAAGTATGTTTAATCAGTTGCCGGAGATCTTAGCACGCCTCTGGCCCGTTGGGCCAGCGAATTTTGACACGGCCCAGGACGGCCTTGGAGGTTGCCAAGACTGCCCAGGGGGCGCTCCGGAGGAGTCGAAGACGTTACACCGTATAGCCCCAAGGCAGCGCAGTGGACTTGCCCCCAGAGGTCCCCGCGACGGCCCAGGGGGGGCTCAAAGACAGCCCCGGATTGGCCCTCTAGGACACCCTCGACAGCCCCAAGATGGAGGAAGAGGAGGAGGAAGAGGAGGAAGAGGAGGAGCAGGAGTGGGGAGGAAGATCTTGCACGCCCGGCGCGGCGCACGCTAGTTGTATGTATCCTCTAGTCCGTACGTCCGCACCGTCAGATAGAGGACGACGTTCGCGCGGCGATGCCCCGACGTAAGTACGACGCAAATCTGTCGTGAATCCGAATACGGCGTAAATCAGACGTGGATCCGACGTGGGTTCGGTTTCAAAATGCCGTGCGAGGCCTCCATGAGCTTCCCCTTGAAGAGGAGAAGGAGGAGGAGGAGGAGGAGGAGGAGGAGGAGGAGGAGGAGGAGGAGGGAGGGATAGGAAAAGGTGCAGAGGCGGTCGAGAAGGACGGCGCACAAGAGGAGGGGGCACAGGAGCCGGGGCGAGGGCCGGGAACAGGAGCTGGGAGGATGTCTTACGGCAGGGCGAGCGTCACTGCCTGGGGCATACCTGCTGGACGCATGGGTGATCACCACCCACCAAACCACCCCAACCCAACCCGAAGGCTCAGATTTACCCTCGATTTCCAGTGGGGGGGGGGGTCGGGAAACATCGACAAAAACACCTGTGGAACCCTTACCCCCCCCAACCCGAAATTCGGGTCTTCGGGTTGGGTTGGGGTGGTCTGGTAGGTAGTCATGAGTCTCGGGATGGCTGCTTCGGCATAGTGGGCAAACATTGGCACGCTCCACTGGGCACTGGAGAATGTTTTTTTTTCCCAACCATCCTGTGGTGTTGGGTCCTCGTTTTGAAGAGACGGTGCCCGCGTCCTCTCCTCTCCTCCTCTTCCCCCTCCTCCCTCTCCTCCTCCTCCTCCTCCCCACCTCCACCTCCTCCTCCTCCTCCACCTCCTCCTCCTCACATCATCAGCATCAGCATAATTGGCATCACCACGCCATCCGACCATGTATCTCTGTGGAATTCGCGAACCCCTTTCTCAGAGAGTTGTTTGTTGACACATCACGCCGTCTCCATCGGTATCTTTGGACTCGGGCGACGTCCATCAGTGTGCTCCACCGAAGGCCCCAGGGCAAGGTCCCATGGCGTATCACCTCCATTTTCGGCGCACCCCTCACACGTTCCGTGCCCCATAGGAGAGCTCCACCGAAGGCCAAGTGGTCAGGGTCCCCATGCGGTTCCACCACCATTTGGCGCACCCCTCCACACGTTTCGTGGACCCATAGTGAGCTCCACCGAAGGCCCCAGTGGCAAGGTCCGCATGCGGTTCCACCTCCATTTCGGCGCACCCCTCACACGTTCCGTGGCCCCATAGGGAGCTCCACCGAAGGCTCAAGTGTCAGGGTCCGCATGCGGTTCCACCTCCATTTCGGCGCACCCCTCACACGTTTCGTGGCCCCATAGGGAGCTCCACCGAAGGCCCAAGTGTCAGGGTCCGCATGCGGTTCCACCTCCTTTTCGGCGCACCCCTCACACGTTTCGTGGCCCCATAGGGAGCTCCACCGAAGGCCCAAGTGTCAGGGTCCGCATGCGGTTCCACCTCCATTTCGTCGCACCCCTCACACGTTTCGTGGCCAAAGGGAGTACCACAGAATAATGCCCTAGTGTCCAGGTTCGCATGCGGTTTCCACCTCCATTTCCGGCGCACGCCCTCCACACGTTTCTGGGCCCCCAAGAGGGAGCCCACCGAAGCCCCATGTCAGGTCCTCTGCGGTTTACACCTCCATTTCGCGCACTCCATCCCTCACACGTTTCGGGGCCCCATAGGGAGCTCCACCGAAGGCCCCAATGCTGCCGTCCGCATGCGTCCCGCACACCCATTTCGGCACACCCCTCACACGTTTCGTGGCCCCATAGGGAGCTCCACCGAAGGCCCCAGCGCTGCCGTCCGCATGCGTCCCGCACACCCATCTCGGCACACCCCTCACACGTTTCGTGCCCCATAGGGAGCTCAACAAGCCCGAACCCAGTTCCGCAATGCGGTTCTTCCATCCATTTCCGGCCGCACCCCTCACACGCTTCGTGGCCCCATAGGAGATCCACCTGAGGCCCCATTGGCTGGTCGCATAGTTTCACCTCCAATTCGGCGCAGCCCTCCCATCTCGGCGCAGCACCCTTCACAACGTTTCGTGGCCCCCATAGGAGCTCAGCCTAAGGCCTAAGTGGCAGGGTCCGCATGCAGTTCCACTTCCATTTCGGCGCACCCCGTCACACGTATTTTCGTTTTTGGGGGGGTCATAGGGAAGCCCCGCCTAACCCAATTGGCCGACGGTCCGCATGCGGTTCCACCTCCATTTCGTCGCACCCCTTACACGTTTCGTGGCCCCATAGAGAGCTCCGCCTAAGGCCCAAGTGGCAGGGTCCGCATGCAGTTCCACCTCCATTTCGGCGCACCCCTCACACGTTTCGCGGCCCCATAGGGAGCTCCACCGAGGGCGCCAATGGCAGGGTCCGCTTGCAGTTCCACCTCCATTTCGGCGCACCCCTCACACGTTTCGCGGCCCCACAGGGTGCTCCACCGAAGGCCCCAGTGGCAGGGTCCGCATGCAGTTCCACCTCCATTTGGCGCACCTCTCACACGCTTCGTGGCCCCATCGGGTGTTCCACCAACGACGATACTTACAACGGCGGCATTCGGAATTGCGTATGGTTGGGCCCTTCGCCAGGATAATTTGTTTTGTCTTGTTTTTTTGTTTGCCCTCTGGGTTATGACGCGCGTTGTGGCTCCTGACCTCTTCCCCGTTACTCCCCCCACAACGTAACGCTCCCCCCCTTCAGTGCGTCCCCGGCACCACGTCAGGCACCACGTCTGGCACAGCGTAGGCACCACAGTCTGGGAGGGGGGGGCGTTACTTATTGCCCACCCCCCTCCCCCCTCCGCCGCACCCCCCCCCCCCTCCCCCCCATAACGCCCGTTACTGTCGCGGATGCAATATGCGCTCCTGGTACCCTGAACGTTGAGGCATACAGTAGGAGACAAACCCAACCCTGAGACCCCAGGAAGTCCATTGACTTTCAGTGTGATAATCTCACGCTCCCCATAGCAAAGCCATCGAAACCCAAGAAACACAGGGCACCCTGGAGGCGAGCAGGGCGTTTCTTGGCATGAACCTCCACTGCAATCGACGCTAATCGATGCCAGAGATCGACGCTAAATGGACGCGAAACCGATGCTGCATCGACGCGAATCGACGCCAGTCGAAGTCAAGCGAGCAGGGCTCCTCTTGATCTGGCTGACGCGTGCGCCGGAGCACGAGGAGCACGAGGAGCACGAGGAGAGGACCCGGGAGCACGAGGAGCCGGGGCTGGTGCCCGGGAGGCGGGCGCCGGGCCAGGGCCCGCGGGGCGGCGGCTGCCCGGAGTTCCCGCGCAGGAACGTCCTGGCGGACGAGGCTGCGGAGGGGAGGGCGCCTCGTCCTCCTGCTCCTGTGCTGCGCGCGCGTGCGCGCACACGGTAGACTGTGCGCGCCTGTCCGGGCGCGCCTGGTGTGTCCTCTCCTCTTCTCGTCCCCTGCTCCTGTCCGGCCGTCCCCGTTCTTGGTGAGCGCGCTCCTCCTCCTTGTCCTCCTCCTCCTCCTCCCTCTCCTTCTCCTCCGCCTCCTCCTCCTCCTCGTCCCCTCCTCCTCCTCCTCACTCCCTCCTTTTCCACTCGCTCCTCCTCCTTCCTACCTTTTCCTCCTCCTCCTCTTTCCTCTCATCCTCCTCCTCCTCCTCCTCCGCCTCCTCCTCCTCCTCCTCCTCCTCCCCTGCTCCTCCTCCCTCCTCCCCCCTCCTCCACCTCCCTCCTCATCCTCCTCCTCGTCCTTGATGATCCCTCCTCCTCGTTCCACTTTCCCTCCTCCTCCTGCTCCTCCTACCTCCTCCCACGCCTCACTCCTTCCTCCCCCCCCCCCCCCCTTCCCCTCCTCCTCCTCCTCCTCCTCCTCCTCCTCCTCCTCCTCCTCGTCCTTCTCCTCGTCCTCCTCGTCCTCCTCGTCCTTGGCAGCTCCTCCTGGTAGCGCCCTCGGCGGCTGGGGGGCGCTGCCAATGGCGAGGATCACCGAACTCGTTCCACTACTCGCAAAGTGAATGCTCGCAGTCCGAAAAAACAAACTTCTGCCTCGGTGAAATGGATCGCACATTCCCCTCGGCGGATCCACGCCATTTGCGAGTAGCTACTTTGCGAGCAGTGAAGCGAGCTTGTCTAGAGGAGGAGGAGGAGGAGGAGGAGGAGGAGGAGGAGGAGGAGGAGCAAGAGGAGGAGAAGCAGCAGCAGCAGGAGGAGGAGGAGGAAGAGGAGGAGGGGAGGGCAGGGCGCCTGGGGCCCAGGCGCCGGCTCACCGCGGAGGAGTTGATGTGCCAGACTCTCCCTCTCGCTCTCTCTCGTTGCTCCCTCGGTTTCGGTTGCTGCCTTCCTCTACGCTCTGCAGAAGCAGCAGCGACAAGGGCGTCACCAGCACGCGAGCAGCGATTCTTTGTTTTTGTACGGGCATTGTTTCGGTTTCCGGCCAGGCGGCGTCATGCGATGCACTCGCACAAAACAATGGTTTTTGATCATGTTTCGGGCAATTGTGCGGAAGTCCGGCCAGAATAGTAACTTGCAGGCCTTTCATCATGCGCTTCTGGCCGATTGGACTCGCTCTCCGCAGATGGTACCGCCGCTACCGTGGCCATTGTCGGAGGCCTAGAGGTTGACACCAACACCAGTATCGGCGGTGTGCCTCCACCGAGGGAAGAAGATCCCGATCTCGGCGATGGTGGTAAGATTCTGGCTTCCAGGGTGGCCGAAGTATTACCACCAGCACCGAAATCTAGGATCATCTTCCCCCTGTGGAGGCAGCCCCCTGTGTTGGTGTTGGTGCCCATTTCCAGGCCTCCGCCAGCCGTGTCCTCCTCCTCTTCCTCCTCCTCCTCCTCCTCCTCCTCCTCCTCCTCCTCCTCCTCCCCTTCCTCCTCCTCCTCCTCCTCCTCCTCCTCCTCCTCCTCCTCCTCCTCCTCCTCCTGCTCCTGCTCCTCCTCCTCCTCCTCCTCCTCCTTCCTCTCTCCACCTCCTCCCCTTCCTCCTCCTCCTCCTCCTCCTCCTCCTCCTCGTCCTCCTCCTCCTCCTGCTCCTGCTCCTGCTCCTGCTCCTGCTCCTGTCTTGCTGAAGGCACTGAGGCGGCCGCCTCTGTTCCGCGGCCCTGGCCGCTGGGGTCGGCTCTCCGGCGGGAAGCCCCCGGAGGGTGGGCGGGGCGTGCTCCACCTCTGCGTGGAGTCTGTGCGCGGCGCCGACGGCGCCGAGGGGGAAGAGGAAGGAGGAGGAGGGGGAGGAGGAGGAGGAGCAGGAGGAGGGGGAGGAGGAGGAGACGAGAGAGAGGAGGAGGAGGAGGAGGAGAGGAGGGGGATGAGGACGAGGAGGGAGGAGGAGGAGGAGGAGGAGGAGGAGGGCAGGAGGAGGAGGGGGGTGGACGAGGACTGTGTGTATCATAGGCGCGGCCATGAAGCCTCCCAGATCTCATGGCGCCCCTTCTTATTTCATTACGCCCCCGGTCCCCCCGCTGGGCCGCGCACGTGCTGCCGGTCATGATTTGCACCCCCCCCTCTTGGACACCCCCCTCTTGGCCGCTCCCGATCCACCTGTGCGTGGAGTTTGTGCGCGGCGCCGACGGGGCCGAACTCGAGTGGGCCGGCTCGGCGCCTTTTTTCGAGTTCCTGGCGGTGAGCCAGCCCCGAATTCTCAGGCTACCCACTTTCGTTCGTCTCGATCGGATGGGCCGTCGGTCATGCTCGTGATCGTCCTCGTGATCGTCCTCGTGGTCGCCCTCGTCGCCGCCATCGCCGTCGTCATCCTTGCCCGATGGCAGGGCGGGGCCGCGCTGTCGCGCGGATTGGCACGGCGGCGCGCGAGGCGTCCCCGCCGCGCGGCGTCAAGTGGCATTGAGGCAGGAGTGATGCAGGTGCGGGCTCCCTTTGAGCAGTTGCTGTTTTTTCCAAGTCGAAAACCAAGGCGGCCTTACCTCCGCATCGTTGCTGCAGTACGGCGCGTCGTCGGCTACGTGGGCAAGCGCACAATGTGCGGATAAAGGTGCTCGATGGATATCACTTGACGTTGGACATGAAACAAAAAGAAGCGGCATGACTTGCGCGTTGCTTTCTTCCTGCGAGCGTCGTTGCGTGATATCCGGCACCGAACCACAGCCCTGGGTCGGTTTGGGCGTTGCTGCGGCGATCGGGCCGCAAATCGGGCCACATATTTTGCCAGGGAGTGGCGTGCCACTGCCCAGCCCCCCCCCCCGCGCTCTGCGATTCAGACGTGGCTAGTCATCGACAATCAGGGGGCAGCGAATTGTCCACCCGTGTCGAACATAGGCAGTCAATCATCGTTGGGATCCCCTATGAGCTCGCGAAACGTGCGATGAAAGCGCCGAATTGGGAGCAGTACCGCCATGCGGACTCTGCCGCTGGGGATCTCTGTTGATCTCCCGGTTGGGCCGTCAAACTTGTGAGAAGTCTGCCGAACTCGGTGTGGTGCCACTTGCGAGCCCTGCCGCAAGGGCATTCGGTGGGGACGGGGCCACGGAACACCTGAGGGATATGGAGGGGGAGGAAGGGGAGGCGGGATTGGAATAGACGCAGTGCGATACGGATTCAAAGCGAAGACGCAATTCAACACAGGATGGCTGGGGTAAAAACGGCGCTGCACGCGCGCGGTTTCTCGTCTCAACGTGCCCCATTTTGCCGCCGCATCGCCTTGCGTGACGAGCGAGCAACTCACACCCGTACCCATGGGGGGGTCGGAGGGAGGAGGCCTGGCTGTGGCTTTGGGTGCGGATTGTCGGACCCCTGGAGGGGCTCCCGTTCGAGCGGGGACCCCTCCGTCTGACAACACGCGCCCATAGCCCCCTCCGCCCCCCCTACGGATGTGGGTGCGTGTGTCTGTGTGTGTATGTGTGTGTGTGTGTGTGTGCGTGCGTGCGCGCGCGCGTGCGTTCGTGCGCGTGTGTGTGTGTGTGTGTGTGTGTGTGTATGTGTGTGTGTGTGTGCGTGCGTGCGTGCGTGCGTGCGTGCGTGCGTGCGTGCGCGTGCGTGTTTTTTTTTTGTGTGTGTGTGTGTGTGTGCGTCCGTGTCTGTGTCTGTGTCTGTATCTGTGTCCGTGTCTGTGTCCGTTCGCCACCGCGCGCCTCACTCCTCCGCGCGCGGGGCCTCCGCGGCCTCAGCGCCGGTGCACCCCCGAGCGCCCGCTGCCGGGCCAGACCTCGGCGACTTCTCGTGGGGCGTCCGCGCTCTGCCCCCACGGCGCCCGCTGCTGGCGGGGCGGCGTCCTCGTCCTTGGCTTCGTCTTGAGGGGGAGGGTCCTGCGAAGCGGCTCCTGCAGGCTCGTCGCAGAGTTTCTGCTCCCACGGGCAGGGGGGAGGCCAAGCGGTCGGCGCCTGCGTGCGGGGTGCCCAAGCCGCCGTCCTGGGACGCCGACGGGCCCCACTACCACCGCAGCAAGCTGCTCGGCCGCGACCAGGATCTCCCCGGCCCCGCGCCTTGCAGGGCCTGGCACGTTTCAGCATCCCCCCCCTTGGCAAGGGTACCGATGCCCCCACCACTTGCCCGTTCCCCCCCCTCTGGGGCCTCGTGGGAGGCCCTCGTCGCCACCGCCGGATTCGGCTCGAGGTTCCTGTCAGAACGCACCGTGGGAGAGGTTTGGGGAGCAGCGGCGGTGTCGATACTTGTTTGTTTCCTCTATTTCGGTTCCAGGCGCCGTGAGGACTCGCACAGCAGCGTTTGCGCCTTGCCTCTGTCCGCAAGGACCCTAGCAGATCGAGTTGGCTCGCGAGGTGCCGCGGAAAAGGTTGTGTCGATGGCTCTGGCTGTTCTTTCTCTTGTCAGCGAGGAGGTGCTTTGCCCCAGTGGCGTCTCGGCTTCGGGTTCCAGTCGGGCTCAGAATGGATCCAGAGTCTCCCCAAGGGGGTCGCGGCACTTTTTCTGGAGGGGGGTTAAGGAGGATGAGGAGGAGAAGACGGGAGACGAGATGCAGAGGAGAGTACAAGTGAAGATGACAGGATGGAGGAGGAGGAGGAGGAGGAGAAGGAGGATGGGGAGGAGAAGGAGGAGGAGGAGGAAGAAAATGAAGTGGAGGAGGAGAAGGAGGAGGAGGAGGAGGATGCGATCGACGTCACCGAGAAGGAGGATGAGGAGGCGTCACCGAGAAGGAGGATGAGGAGGAGGAGGAGGAGGAGGAGGAGGAGGAGGAGGAGGAGGAGGAGGAGGAGGAGGAGGGAGGAGGAGGACGAGGAGGAGGCCCGCGCGACCATCCGCCGACCAAGTGAGCGACGCAACAAAGTTATTCTGGCGAAGGGCCAAAAGATATGCAGTCGTGAGCAGTGCGGGGCAAGCGAGGCGCAGGAGGGGCGCGAGAAGGAAGAGCGGGAGCACGGAGAAGAAGGAGGTGGGGCGAAGCAAGGAACGGTGGGGCGGGACGGAGGAATGACCGGATGCTCGGAGAGAGCTTTCCGGAGCAGGGGCAAACTTGTAGCCCGCTCTACGGCGCAAGGCACCCAGTGGAGGCAGGCGCAGGGGAGTCCCTCAAGACGCGCGCTTATCGCCCCGATGAAGCTCCGGCGACGCACCATGGAGCCACGACGCGTCTGAGAGGCTGACCAGAATGGGAGCGGGGGCCGCCTCGCCACCAGCCTTGCCGCCGGGGCCTCCCCCCCGATGCCGCCTCGAGGCGTGTGAAGGGTGGGGCGACGTGGGTGCGGCGCCGCCGTGCGGACCCCGCGTGAGGCGTGTGCGTGCGGGTGCGGGTGCGGTGCCGCCGTGCGGGCCCTGCCGCTCTGGGGCCTTCGGCGGACTGCCGGACGGGGCCACGCGAAGCGTGTGCGGGGGGGCGTGCCGACCACGGTGGCGGTGCCGCCGTCTGGGCCCTGCCGCTGGGGCGCATCGGTGGAGCTCCTCCGTGGGGCGGCGCGGCGTCTGCGAGGTGCGGCAGAATGGGCGCGGCGCCGCCGTGCGGACAGTGCCGCTGTTCGGCGTTCGGTGGAGCCCCTTCGGGGGCCACGAGGCGTGCGAGGGCGGTGTGCCGCAGTGGGCGCGGTGCCGCCTGGGGCCTTCGGTGGAGCCTCGCGCGGGGCCACGGAGCGCGCGGGGGAGCGCGCGCGGAGAAGGAGGAGGGGAGGTGCGGAAAGCAGCGGCAGGGCGAGGAGCAAGGAGCGAGGGCCTCGGGGAGTGACGCGGGGCGCCGCGGACACGGCAGGACGGTTGGGTCAAAGCATGGGCCGACTGCACGGCCGCCCGCGCGTGCAGTGCCCGCGCAGGGCCTTCCACGCGGCGTGCCGCGCCTGCGGCCCGCGTGAGCCACCGCGTGAGCTCGCTGCGGCTGGCAGTTTTTGCTCGGCGTATCGCGCAACAGGTTCTGGCCCACGGCGCCTCGGCGCATATCGCGTGTCACCTCTCCCGGTCCTGAAGCAGCAGCGTTTCCGGCTTGTCCCAGCCTCCCGTTACGCGGAGCGGGGCGACAGGTTGTCGGCTTGCAGGGCTTGACTTCGCCGGGGCTGCCGGTCTTTGGGGCCGACGCCACGACACGCTAGGCTTGCGGCAGACGTCCTTGGCCGTATGCTCCCGCGAGTGGGACCCCTTTCTCTTCGTCCCTCCCCCACCCAGGACTGGTGCCAGGGTTCGCGTGCTGGAGTCGAGACTGCAGATGGTTTCGATGCTACAAGCCTCGATGAGTTTTGCAGGTTGACGGAGGCGCGTAGAAGCTCAGAGGAGGCAAAAAGGGGCCGATACTGTACCGCTACCCTTCCTTCGTTTTCCCTTTTTGGGGGCCCCTTGGGAGGCCCTCGCCGCCACGGCTGGATCCGTCTCGAAATCCTGGTCAGAGCGCCCCCTGGGAGAGGGCCGCGGGTAGCAGCATCGGTGCCTTTCTGTTTCCCATGTGAAAGTCCCGGCAGTCGTCGTGGTGAGCGAAGAGGGTCGCCATGAAGGTGTGGAGGGCTTGGGGAGCGGGTCCTGAACCGGGGTTCTCTCCCCGGGGCCAGCTCATGTCACCATTCGGGCGGGTGGCAATGGGGGGTGACCCACAGGGGGGTAAAGCAAAAGGCCCCCAAGGGGCCCTGCAGGGCGCCTTTTGGGGCACCAGCTGGGTCCAAAAGGGGCCCGAAAGGGCCCCTTTCGGGCCCACTGCCACCCGCCCGATCCCACTGTCGACGGCCCCGGGGCCCGTGGGCACTTGGGGCCCGAACGCGGCAGCAGACTTCCAGGGGGCCCCTCTCCTCCGGGACCCGTTGCCTTCACCTCGGGCCGCATGAGAGGGTGGGACAGGGAGACCCTGCAGCAAGAGTCACGGAAGCCTGGTGTACGTCTCTTAGTTCTGTCTTCAGTGTCGACTCGCGTCGATTGGCGTCTGGGAGTGGATGAGGGAGCGCCGATTTAGCGTCGATTGGCAGCGGTTTAGCGTCGATTCGCGTAGATTCAGCGTCGACTGGCGTCGATTCGCAAGAACCGACAAGATGGTATGGGAGGCTCCCATGACTGGCCACATAAGGGAAAGGGGGGTTTGCGACATCAGCGGCATGCAGCCTGTTTCCGCCCCGCCGCCAGGCTCATTCCTCGATGCATGGGCGCATGAGCGCCTCCCGGCGCCAGGAGGCGCCGGGAAAGTCAGCCAGAGCAGGAGCTCGTCCACAAGGAGCCTTCCACAAGAAACCCAACCATGAGACCCCAGGACGTCCATTAAGTTTTGGTGTGGGAACGTCACGATTTTCATAGCCAAACCATCGAAACCCAAGAAGCCTGGGGCACCCTGGAGCCAAGTGTCTCTTGGCATGGGTTTCCACCGTGAGTTGAGTCTCTGCCCTACCCTTTGCTATCTTGCCCTCTCGTCCCCCCAGATTCGGAGCCCGCCCACTCGCGGAGGACATAGGCTTCAGCGCGGCCCAGCTCTGCCACGCGGGCGCCTGATCGGCGCGCGGGGCCGCCTTGCTCCCCCGCCGCCACTGCCGCGGGACCGCTGGGGGTTGCCCCCCTTTTATTCCCCTCCCATCCCCCCCCCCCCCCACCCCCTCCTTCCCTCCCCCTTCCACTCCCTCCTCCCCCTTCTCCTCCTCCTCCTAATTTCTCTCGCCTCCTCCTCCTCCTCTCCGCCTCTCACTCCAATCCTTCTCCTCTCCGCCTCCTCCCTCCTCCTCCTCCTCCTCCTCCTCCCTCAGCCCTCCTAATCCCCTCCCTCGGATGAAGAATAGTACGTAGCTCCCCAGCAATTTGTGGATACAGAGTGAGGGGGCGGGCGCGGGGCGACTCGGGTGTCGAGCCAGCGACTTCGTCGTGGCCCTCACCTTCCCTGTCCGAGGCGCCTTCCCCTCCTCCTCCACCGCCTCCCTCTCCTCCGCCGTCCTCCCCTCCTCCTCCTAACTCCTCCCTCCTCCTGCTTCCTCCTCCTCATCCTCCTCCTCTTTTCTCGTCCGCGCATCGTCCTCATCGTCGTCGTCGTCGTCGTCCGTCGGTCCGCCTCCTCCTCTGACCACCTCCTCCTCTTCCCTCCACCTTTCCTCTTCCTCCTCCTCCTCCGCCTCCTCCTCCTCCCTCCTCCATTCCCTCTTCCTCCTCCTCTTCCTCCCCCATCCCGATCCTCCCCCCTTCTTTCCGTCGTCGTCCTCCTCCTGCCCGTCCTCCTCCCTCCTGCCCTTCCTCCTGTCTCGTCGTCCCCCTCCGTCCCCCTCCTTTTCCTCCTCGCCCTCGTGGGCGAGGAGGAAAAGGAGGGGGGGACGGAGGGCGCTTTCCCAAACCAATGCGAGCAAGCCCGCCGCAGGCGCCGATTTGCGTGCTCTGACAAGTTCAGCGCCGGGGGGATCGCTGGGGGCCACCCGGAACGAATGCAACAACAGCCCGCCGCAAGCCAAATTTTTGGCTTGTTCAGTGAGCGCAGTTTGGGTCGCGGGTGGGTCGCGGGCTCTCCACCTCCACCTGGAAGGAATTCAATAACAGCCCGCCGCAGGCGCCGAACATTTTGATTTGTACACTGAACGCGGTTTGTGTCGCAGGTTCTCCACCTGGAACGACTGCAAAAGAAACCCGCCGCAGGCGCCGAAAATTTTGATTTGTACACTGAACGCGGTTTGGGTCGCGGGTGGATCGCAGGTTCTCCACCTGGAAAGAATGCAAAGGAAGCCCGCCGCAGGCGCCAACATTTTTTTTGGTGGGTCGCGGGATGGGTCGCGGGGTGGGTCGCGGTGGGTCGCGGGTGGGTCGCAGTGGGTCGCGGGTGGGTCGCGGGCGCGTTGTGGGTCGCGGGTGGGTCGCAGGTTCTTCACCTGGAACGAATGCAAAAGAAACCCGCCGCAAACGCCGAAAACTTTGGGTGGGTCGCCGGGTGGGTCGCGGGTGGGTCCGGGGTGGGTCGCGGTGGGTCGCGGGTGGGTCGCGGATGGGTCGCGGGGTGGGTCGCGGGGTGGGTCGCGGGTGGGTCGCGGGTGGGTCGCGGGTGGGTCGCCGGTGGGTCGCGGGTGGGTCGCCGCGGGGGTCTCGGGCTGGGTCGCCGCTGGGTCGCGGAATGGGTCGCGGGTGGGTCGAGGGTGGGTGGGCGGGGTGGGGTCGGCGGGTTTGGGTCGCGGGGTTGGTCGCGGGTGGGTCGCGGTGAGTCGCGGATGTGGGTCGCGGGGGGGTCGGGGGGGGGGTCGCGGGCGGGACGACGACAACAAACAACACACAACAAACAACAAACAACAAACAACAACAACAACAACAACAACAACAACAACAACAACAACAAGAACAAGAACAACAAACACAATTGAACAAAAACAACACCAACAACAACAACAGTAACAATAAACCGCATCGCGGAATTCCACTTCAGCCACGCACGCAGGGACAGTGAATAACCGTTCGGTTCAGCCCCCTCACTCTGACCCATACCTCTACCCGTCGACCGTTTTCCCCTTGTGTTGGCCTCTTGGGAGGCCCTCGTCGCCACCGCTGAACCGCTGGACCTGGCTTCCGAGTGCCCACGGTGATATCAGATTGGCAGCGTGGGCGCGGCTGTCTCAGAGACCCAGGGCCCGGCGCTTGTAACTGCCCCTCCGATCTGGGCCTGCACGTGCGCGTGCGAGGAGGGCAGTGGCCGGGCGTGTGAGAAGTCTCGGGCATCGGGGAGCCAGCATCACGATTTGGTAATCCGGCTCCATCGTTGCCGATGCCCCGCCTGCTCCGCCTCGTCGCGCCCTGGGGCGTGGGCGCAGGGCGGCCCAGGCTCGCGGGATGACTCGGCGGTCATCAGGCAGCACCTCTCAGGGCCCGCAGGGCACAGCTCACCGCTGCCAGGCCGCAGCGCTGCATCACAGGGCCCGGCCTGGACGGTGCCTCGGCGATCTCGTGCGCCGCAGCAGGGGCGGACGGCGGAAACCAACGCGCAAACGGAATTCATGTCTTGGGTCGAGCCCTGCTGCATCGGTCACCGCCTACCACCCCACCCAACCCGAAGGCATCCATCTGCCCTCCATTTCCAGGGGGGGGCGGGTCGGGGAACATGGAAACACACACACACACACACACACACACACACACACACACACACACACACACACACACACACACACACACACACACACACACACACACACACACAACACAAACAACACACATACACCACACACACACCCAACACAACACACACACACCACACACACACACGCACACACACCACAACATCACCACACACACACCCACACACACCACACACACACACACACACACACAACCACAACTACACACACCACCACCACACACTACCAAAACCACACACAAACACACACACCTCACGAACACTGGTCGAGGAGAACCCGTACCATCCCCCCAACCCAAATTCTGGGTCTGTCGGTTGGGCTGGCGTGGTCTGGTAGGCAATTCACTTCAGGCTCAGCGAGCTCCGGCTCGCCTAGCTCCTCGGAGGGGGGGAAGGAGGTAGGAGGTAGGGATAGTGATGATGATTAAGAGGTAGAGGAGGTGGAGGATAGGAGGAATATTCACAGGAGGAGGAACAAGAGGAGGAGCAGGAGGAAGAGCAGGAGGAGAGTAGGACCAGGAGGACGAGGAATGCCACGTCGTCGTCGTCGTCGTCGTCGCCGTCGTCGTCGTCGTCGTCGTCGTCGTCGTCGTCGTGGTCGTGGTCGCGAGGGCCCCGCGCTGCGGGACGGGGCTCGCCGCCGGGAGGGGGCCCCGGCTGCGGGCCGCCGGGGGCCCCAGGGAGCCAAGGACGCCCTCGGGGGCGCGAGGTTGTTCGCGCGTCGCGCTTCGCGCTTCGGCTCCCATTCCTCCTCGTCCTCCGTTTCTCCCCTGGGAGGCGGCGCGGGGGCGCGAGGTTGTTCGCGCGTCGCGCTTCGCGCTTCGGCTCCCACTCCTCCTCGTCCTCCGTTTCTCCCCTGGGAGGCGGCGCGGGGGCGCGAGGCTGTTCGCGCGTCGCGCTTCGCGGTTCGGCTCCCACTCCTCCTCGTCCTCCGTTTCCCCCCTGGGGGGCGGCGCGGGGGCGCGAGGCTGTTCGCGCGTCGCGCTTCGCGGTTCGGCTCCCGCTCCTCCTCGTCCTCCATTTCTCCCATGCGGGGGGCGGCGCGAGGGCGCGAAGGTTGTTCGCGCGTCGCGCTTCGCGCTTCGGCTCCCACTCCTCCTGTCCTCCGTTTCTCCCCTGGGGGGCGGCGCGGGGGCGCGAGGCTGTTCGCGCGTCGCGCTTCGCGGTTCGGCTCCCACTCCTCCTCGTCCTCCGTTTCTCCCCTGCGGGGGCGGCGCGAGGGCGCGAAGGTTGTTCGCGCGTCGCGCTTTCGCGCTTCGGCTCCCACTCCTCCTCCTCGTCCTCCGTTTCCCCCCTGGGGGGCGGCGCGGGGGCCGAGGCTGTTTCGCGCGTCGCGCTTCGCGGTTTCGGCTCCGGCTTCCTACACCTCCTCGTCCTTCCATTTCCTCCCATGCGGGGGGCGCGCGAGGGCCGCGAAGGTTTTGATCGCGCGTCGCGACTTCGGCGGTTCGGCTCCCACTCCCTCCTGTCCTCTTCCGTTTCTCCCCTGGGGGCGGCGCGGGGGCGCGAGGCTGGTTCGCGCGTCGCGCTTTCTCGCGGTTCGGCTCCCCTCCTCCTCGTCCTCCGTTTCTCCCCTGCGGGGGCGGCGCGAGGGCGCGAAGGTTGTTCGCGCGTCGCGCTTCGCGCTTCGGCTCCCACTCCTCCTCGTCCCCCGTTTCTCCCCTGGGGGGCGGCGCGGGGGCGCGAGGCTGTTCGCGCGTCGCGCTTCGCGCTTCGGCTCCCACTCCTCCTCGTCCTCCGTTTCTCCCCTGCGGGGGCGGCGCGAGGGCGCGAAGGTTGTTCGCGCGTCGCGCTTCGCGCTTCGGCTCCCATTCCTCCTCGTCCTCCGTTTCTCCCCTGGGGGCGGCGCGGGGGCGCGAGGCTGTTCGCGCGTCGCGCTTCGCGGTTCGGCTCCCACTCCTCCTCGTCCTCCGTTTCTCCCCTGCGGGGGCGGCGCGAGGGCGCGAAGGTTGTTCGCGCGTCGCGCTTCGCGCTTCGGCTCCCACTCCTCCTCGTCCTCCGTTTCCCCCCTGGGGGGCGGCGCGGGGGCGCGAGGCTGTTCGCGCGTCGCGCTTCGCGGTTCGGCTCCCACTCCTCCTCGTCCTCCGTTTCTCCCCTGCGGGGGCGGCGCGAGGGCGCGAAGGTTGTTCGCGCGTCGCGCTTCGCGCTTCGGCTCCCACTCCTCCTCGTCCTCCGTTTCTCCCATGGGGGGCGGCGCGGGGGCGCGAGGCTGTTCGCGCGTCGCGCTTCGCGGTTCGGCTCCCACTCCTCCTCGTCCTCCGTTTCTCCCCTGGGAGGCGGCGCGGGGGCGCGAGGCTGTTCGCGCGTCGCGCTTCGCGCTTCGGCTCCCATTCCTCCTCGTCCTCCGTTTCTCCCCTGGGGGGGCGGCGCGAGGGCGCGAAGGTTGTTCGCGCGTCGGCGC